AGTGTCACGTTTCCTCCAATGGTGGTTTCTGGTGTGGGACTGTAGATTTTGAGACCCTTCACAAACTTTGAGCAAGAAGTAACATTCTGGGACAATTCTGTAATAAAAATTGATTATCAAATTTCAATATGTGTTAGAAGTGTGATTTCAGTAGCACTGAGTCTTCAGCAACTCATCAAGTTCACTCAAGATGGTGACAGAGTGACAGCTCTGTAAAGAGTTCCTGATTTTTTACTTATTTTACTTCTTTTATCTAGTTTTAATCAAGTAGTTTTAGTACTTTTTTTGGTGTTATTCAATTCTTTATCTCCCTTATATTTTTGTTTTTCTTATTTTTAATTCTTTTAAATAGTAATTAGAATTAATATTTGCTGGGATCCTAGAGTTTTGTGCACAAACGCTAAAATTAACTGAGGATGTGAAATTATAAAGCAGGAACAAAAAAGAATCTGAAAGGAAAGCTCAAAGGGAAGAACAAGGCTGAGATTCAGCAGAGTGGAAATCCCAAACAAGATAAGGCTGCAATGACTTCTGGGCAACCAAAGATAAAGGACTTGTTCCAGCGTAAGGACTCTGCATGTAAGCCTCCCTCTCCTCTTGTAACCTCCCTTAATAATTCTTACCCCTTGTTAGACTGGGAGGTGGATGATTGCCCTTCCTCTGAAGATGAGGCTCTAATAGGAAATAGAAGGGAGGATGCTGTTTATGTAAGTTAAATGGAGACCTGGATTTGGTTGCTAAGAATTGCCTTCTAACAGCCCAAACAGTCAGTGCTATATTTGATCAGCTCCTGGATGCCAATAAAAAAATAGATGAATTAAAGACTTTAATGGAAAACTATCTTTCCAAATCAGTTATGGAACCAAATAACTCATATGTTTCAAAACTTACCTCTAATCCAAGGACTGTACAACAATTTCCAGTTAAAGAAGCCACTGAGGAAAAACTAATTTTGCAGAGACACAGGAGCCCGCTTCAAGTTGCTGATACTCCTTTAAATGAGGGCAGGTGGCACAATGGACAAGCAATATTATACTCCCTTTCACAACTTCTTCCTTGTAAAGTATACTCTAATGAGCTTACAGAAATTTCCTGTTTTCATAGCAGGCATGGATCTAAAAGGATAATGCTAACTTTCAGGCGGTTTATTTTTTCCTCAATGCTATTCAAACTCAAGAACTTTTTAAGGCGGTTTTACATTCTGCCAAAATGTATTTTTCACAGCATGTATTTTAGTATCCAGCCCTTACTAAATTCTGGGAGGAGGGCTCAAGCTCTAGAGCACCTCATCACAACCATCCACTATCTGTAAAACGGAGAACTCCTTCAACATCAAGGTCAGGACAGGATAAACACAGGGAAAGAAATGCCCTAGATTTAATCAAAAGAAAGATACAGGCTTCAGATGACTTTTTGGAAGATGAGGAAGATTTAACTCAGTTATTTGCCATTCTCTCCTCAGAGGAGCAACAATTGATCTTAGGCAAGATTGAAACAGTTAAATCTGTGCTGCATTCAGCCACTGCTGCAGCTGAGAGTCTTAACATCTTACTGCCTTCCAGTTGCTGCTCTGTGGAAATGCTGCTAAGCCCAGCTTCTGAGGGTCATTTATCCCCAATAAATAAAAACGGTATTCCAGTCCAAAGCATACTATACAAAAGAAAAGAACATTCAGCTGGTCTATGTAGCACAAACCTCACATAACTACTTGGAGTATAGCTCTGTAGCTGATGATTTATTACAACTGGCCTCCAAGGATCAGCCTGAACAATCTACAGAAACATTTCCATCTGCTGTCCCCAGTGTTGACCTTAACCCTGACCCCATTCCCCAGGTGGATGCTCCACCCATACCTTGCCATTCATTATTGCAAGTCAGCTATATCTGCAGGACCCTGAATCTGGACAGCTTTCTGTTATCAGTCCTCAATTTGATCCAATTTGCCCTCAAGCCCAGCAATTAGAAAATGAGAGGAGTGGACTGAGTTCATTACCACTATCAGTAGCTGCTGAGCCTTCTGAACACTGATTCTTATGATAAAGAAGAACAGCAGTTACAATTTAGAGAAAGTTGAATTTTATAATAACTGTGCATATACAGAAAGCATGGATAATATTGTTCCAACTCCAGAAACAAACTGTCTGACTCTTCATCTTCTACTCAACCATCCCATCCTGAACAAGTTGCCTTGGAGAGACCTCTACAAATTGTAAGTTGGAATGTACAGTAACTGACTGGAAAGAATCTGTTGATAGTGATTTGGTGAGATTCCTTTCTGAATTTGAGATAAGAGCTTTACAAGAAACCTGGTTAGCAGGAGAGGATGACCCAGTACAACTCTCTGGTTTTCAATGCTGGTATACCTCTGCCTAAAAATTAAAGTATAAAGGGCAAGCCTCAGGGGTCTTATACATTCTTATTAAGCAAGGACTAACTGCAATGGCAGGGTGAGAAATTATATAACGGGGATAATCTGCCTCATATACTTTCCATGAAATTCAGATATAAAGATCTTGAGCTTGTATTGGTAGAAGTTTATATTCCACCAAATACATCTTCTTATTACAACTCTGACTATTGGATATGTTTAGATACAATATGGGAAGAAATAATTACTTTGCATACCCAAACCATTATTATTTTACTTGGTGATTTTAATGGTAAACTAGGCCAATCTCTTTATGATTTTGCTCAATACAGTGGACTCCCAAATGAATTTTTTAGTAATCATCGACATTGGTATTCAAGAGATAACAAAAGTAATACTGCTGGTCTATACTTAGTTTCAGATTTTTAAATGTAATCTTCAAATTCTGGGAGGTAAGGATAATAATTATGTATACCTATACACCTTCCCCTCAAGCCACTGTATCAAAAAGTAAAGTCGACCTCTTCTCAGAGGTCGTTGTTTATCTAAGAGGAGAAAGTGATCATCAGCCAGTGAATATGAAATTCCTAGATCCTTCAGACTAAAGATCATATAACATGGCTGATAGGGGGGTTATAGCTAACTCAGAGGTGAGTCAGAATAAAAGGTTAAGAAGTAGATAGCCTCAAGTCAAAGAATGCTATCGGTTGAGCCTTAACAGTCTGGTCACCCACAGCTGACTGGTAGTCAGTCTCCAATGCATTCACAGCTTTGTGCCACATGTTGAAGAAACGCCTGCTAACCACATCCTGCTGTAAAAGTTTCCCCATAGATATAGTAGATCTCCCTGGTTTGACAATGAATGTCATTTGACAACAAGGAAATTGAAGGCAACTATGAGACTTGTTTAGAGGCATTCCTCCATACTAATATAAGCTAGGATGCAGTCTCCAAGAAGAGAATATAAGAAACTCATTAAATCAAAGAAATAGAGGTCATGCTGCTTCAAATTGGTCAGGACTTGAGCTGTCAGCAAAAAGTCATAATTCGGCTATATTTTGGCACTCTGTAGCTGGAATCCTGAAAGAATGGAGATTTGCATTCAATATACCAATCTCTGCTGAGGTTTGGGAAAACTATTACCATCACTTGTTCGCCCTTCCAGAACCTGTTGAGAAACCGTTACTAAATAGCAATTTGCCACCTACTAAAGCTATACCCCTCTGGCCACCAGTATTAGAAAATGAGATTAAATCTATAATAAAAGTCCTGAAGAGCAACGAAGTCCCTGGTAAGGACCTTCTCCTGGCCGAGCTATTCAAAAAAAATACCCTGACATGTGGGCCCCTCTCTTGGCAGGCTTATTCATACATATAAATAATACCTGCCAATTGTAGTTCCTCTGTACAAAAAAGAATAAAAAGGATCCTAGCAATTACAGGCCCATCAGTCTAATAGATATTGTGGCTAAAATATATGCCAGGATCCTCTTGAGTAGAGTTGAGAGTTGGGTACCTGAAAAGTGGATTCTTGCAAAAGAACAAGCTGGCTTTAGAAAGAGTTGATCCATTACTGACAATTGCTTTGTCTTGAACCACCTAATTACTAAATATGTTAGTAAGGGGAGACAACTGTTTGCTGCTTTTATAGACCTTAGTACAGTGCTTGACATAGTAAACAGAGAAATTTTATGGAGGAAATTGACTGTCCTCATTATGGAACCCAGGCTGCTTGCAATGATCAAAGCTCTGTTCACAAATACTAGCCTGAGAGTGGATTTGGGGTTAATGGAGCCATGACAAGCAGGACTGATACTCACAAAGAAGTAAGACAAGGGTGCATACTTGCACCACTGCTATTTAGTCTATATATTAATGACTTACCAGGACTGATGAAGGATCTTGAAGTATAGTACACGTGCCTAAGACAGTCAACACACATTGCAACTCCTTGCCATACACTGATGATATGACTTTACTATCATATTTGCAAGTTGAGTTGCATGGGTTGTTAAGAAGACTTGGCTCCTATTATCATAATAATTCTCTGATTATTAATAAATCAAAGTAAAAATCATGGGTTTTGGAAGACAACATCAGAGCCATAGATGGCTATTAGGTGGTGATCAATAGAGCAAGTCCACACCTTTCTTTATTTAGGAATAGTCTTCTCTGAGTCATGGAGAAAGCACGAGAGTTCCAGAAAAATATCTAC